TGAAATTCCCCCAAGTATTGAAACAATCCTCCAGGTTTTCACATAGCTGACTGTTCATTGTTTATATCTCAGCTCAGCTCTTTAGACTTAATGAATAATGTGTTTATAAAGCAGAAGGGAAGAACTCAGAGGCATCATCAGTAAATGTTGAGGCCAGTAGTTTTGACTTGCCCTTTCCCTGCGAGCTGTACGGGTTTCACTCATATTTGATTGTTCTGGTTAAGTTCCCCAGTGGCCTTTTCTGCATAATTCTAATATAAATTTCAAAGGAGGGTACAAATTTAAATAAAAATGAAGTAAACTTCCTTCAAAGTTTCCACCCAGCAATTTTTGAGATGAATTGCACTTTTTCCAAAACTAAACACTTTTAATCTTATTTTTCAGCTGTAGAACAGCCCTACTCTTGTGCCTTTCCCCAGAAAACTCCTTACCTTTGTGTCCACGTTTACACTGCAGTCTCTCATCCCCTTCATCTTCCTTTTTTTCTTAAACTTTTGCTTGTTTATTTACTTATTTATTTGCTTGCTAACTGCCTGTTTCAGTGTTTGAGGATGGGGACCTGTCTCTCTTACTCAGCGCATAAGACCATTTCATTTTGAAACTGATGCCGATGCTGTTGGGAGGAGGCAGGGATGTATAGCATGATACAGGGTTGGTGGGTTACTGAAACCATGTGGGCCTATTTGGAACCCGCTCAGGGCAATTGGTTTTCAAAGCTGTGAGAATTCAAGAATTTTCTAGGGTAGAACAAACCTTTGATGGTTTTCTCAGATAAAGTTTAGAGGGTTCTCAGGCAAGCAGACTCTTCGATACTTATAAACAGAGATGCTGAGTCATCTCCAAAATAGTCTCAGGGGTTTGTGTTATCTTCTTCAGAATCTTTCCATTATAAAAGGAGAAATGTGTGTTTACTGAGGAACCAGTATGCCTGTACGTGAGCTCTCAGACCAGAGGAATCAAACCCCAACGGAGTGAGGACGAAGATGAGCATCAGAGCCTCCTCTGTCAGAAGCAGTGTACGATCTTTTGGTCTGAGAGCAGGTCCTTTCAGCCATTCTTACACTTCTGAGATTTGCCACATCTGAATATCTCGTGAACACCACACCTTGTGATCCTTGAGGTCTGAGGGAGGGAGGTCAACTTGGGGACACCAACTTCAAACAGGACGTGAGTGATCACATCCATTGTGTAGCTGCAAGAGCAATAGGATGGCCATCATTTCTTTTATTCATGGCCGTATCCCCATCACTGATAATAATGCCTGGCACATAAGCACTTAAGAAACTTTTATTCAGTGAAACAAGATGAATATTTTAATATGCTAACTTTATCTTTGAAATATATTTATTAAAATAACACGATTTGTTTTTCTACCTCAGTGTCATGAGTCACACCTCACAAGGACCCTTGTGAGGAAATATTGCTGAAGAATAGAGTGTGGATGTGGAGGTGCCCAGTGGGATGGTATATTTTAACTTAGCCAAGTGCTAGTCCATTATTCTCTTTTCCTCTATCTCTTATAAATATGACATACGGTGTCTTCCCTGAAGAAAGACTAACAAAATTTGGCTGGATGCATTCCCTAAAGCAAAGTACCCCCTTAAGCCAATACGTCTTTCACTGAATGTAGCTGAGAAGGCACTTGAAAGTATATCAAGACACTGAACTCAACATAATGTGGCAATATTAGTTACCCTAAAGAAAATGTACCAGAAAAATCAATCCAAAAGCCAATTTACTGCTTGACCTTAGCCAATTCATTTGACCTTCATTGCAACTAGTTAGAAGATTGTTAAGGAATGGTCAATAAAGACAAAGACTTCTGAAAACCTAAAGTCCCCTGCACTGAGCTGTAACTCTGGAGTGTGTTTTGTTGTAGGGAAAACACGGCCTCTGTGGTGTTAGGTATATAAATGTAAGTTAAAGGGGCTAATTCCATTCATGCGACAGGAATATAGTGCTTGCAGGGCACTCAAAACATCTTTGAATCTTGGTACATGGTGAATAGCAAACTAACAAAAATTAATTTAAATAAGAGGCTTGAGTTTCCCAGATTCGTACCTACTATCTGGATAAATCTGGACAAGTTCTGTAAACTTCAGCTGTTTTATCTAGAAAATGAAGATAATCATAGAGTTGAGAATTCAATAAAAAACAATTAGAACAGTTCAGTATCTGACGTGGAGTAAGCAATAAATCATAGCAGTCATTATTATCACCATTACTAGCAGTATAGCTGTTAGGATGATAGGAGCCTATATTTAGCAGTTATATAGCCTTATCATCATAGGCATTTTGTGAAACAAAATCATTCCTGATTGGATTTATCTCATGCCCTATTTTTTTCCTTCTTTTTAAAGTCGTCACTCATTTCTAGCACATGTTATCTTGCTATATTTTGTGCATTAACATAAACATTCATTTTATAATAGTGCAGTTTAAATAAATGTGTAGATGGATAGATATAAATAAATTAACTATGTAAATAATACTCACAGGTAGATATAGTAATCCAGAGCTATAAATCGTAAAAATCTCAAGATCTCATACAATTTTTGTTTTAGATACTGATAAACAGAGATGTTGGTCTATGAACAGGCAGTAATGAAAGAGAGGAGGTGGAAGATAGATCAAAACAATACATAAATCAACCAGAATTTAAACTTTACGTTTCATGGATTTTGCTCTGTTGCTGTCTAGAACAGTGCTTGGTATATAGGAGGGCTACAGTGAACATTCGTTGAATAAATGTATAAATGAAGTCAATGAATATCACTTAGTACTTGAATTTGCAAAGCAATAGGCCAGGCACTTTGGGGAACAAAAGATTTACCACAAGCAAAACTGGCTCCCTTTCTGAAACTTACCAGGTAGTATTAGAAGACAAACTCCCAAAGAAACAACTGTTATAAGACATGACATTGTAAGGGAAACTCACACACAATACCATGTGTTTGTATGTGCCGGGGGAGGGGGTGGGAATGGGTACATCAATCCCAACTGGGGGGGAAATCTAACAGACTCCTAATACCATTATCAACAATAAAAAGTCTAAGTAGCCCTTGGACACTAATTTCTAAGCAAAATTTAGAATAAATTTTAAGTAATGTAACCCTGCTGAAAGGATAAAGAGGAGAAAGTGTAAGAGGAAAAGTTGTCTAACCCTGAGGCCAAGCTGATTAAATCAGAATCTTTCTGAGTGGAGTCCAGTTATCAAAACAAATAAAAATCTCCCAAGATGAATGTAACGTACTGCCATGATTGAAAGCCACACTGGTCTAGGGCAATGCTTCTCAACCTTTTCTGGGCATAAAAATCATCTGAATAGCTTGCTGAAATAGATCTATGAGCCTCAGCCACCAAAATTCATGAGTATCAGCTCCAAAGATTCATCTAGGGTGGATCTCAAGGTTTTGCAGTTCTAACAAGTCCCGAGATAATTCTATGTTGTCCATCTGTGAAGTACACTTTGAGTAGCAGGGCTCTAGGGTATGGTACCAAAAGCTCCCTAAAAATAGTGGGAAATAAAAGAGAAGTGAGTTGCCTAGGAGTTGTCACATAGTGGGTGGTCTACAAGCAGTCAGCATCAGCATCTCCTGGGATCTTGCTAAGATGCCAAATTTCAGACTCCACTGAATCAGAACCTGTATGTTAACAAGATCCCCAAGGAATAAGCAAGTATATTAAAGTTTGAGAAGCACTGCTCTAATTCTCAATTTTTTTCCACCCTGGAATCACTTGAGGGCTTTTCAAAGCTTCCATTGCTCGTGTACACCCCCCAGGGTGCTTTCTGGACAGGGGGAGTTTTTGGATTCTTCTATGCAGCAAAGCTGGAGAACCACTGCTCTAAAGGACATGCTTTGAGGTGATTTTGTGCAGAGTTTTCTGTATCTTTCCTCCCAATCTCCTCTGCTGCCACATTGCCTGACGTTTCACTAACTGGTATTCAATCGTACGTGTTAGTAAGAATCCTCTCAAATGGAAATAACCATAGGAGGGTGGACACTGCTTTATCAGCCATTCACATCTTAGTGTCAACATAACTAATTAGACCCTGGGAACACAAAGCTGGAAACAAAGGAATTTTAGTGGGTGTTGGGAGAATAAAAGAGACAGTTTACAATAAGGGACACTTCCTGTCTTGAGATGAGATGGGTGGAAGCTTGGAATGTTGCCAGTGGGGAGTGTGGCTAGTTATTTCTTGTTCAATCAAAAGACAGTATATACTTGAGACATTTGAAGAGCTGAAGGATGGACTAACCAATGGGAATGAATTGGATTCCTTTTAAGAAGTGAACATGAAAAGAAGCTGTGATGAATTATGAAACTATAATAAGTTACACTGAAATTGGATATACGGGAGATGTAAGTGGTTGATGAAATAGCCATTAGAAACTACTAGAAGAGACTGCATACTTACAAATGCACTTTTATTTTGGTAAGCTTGCTGAGCTCCAGGGCCTTGTCTCATGTATTTCAGGTGCTCAATGACATTTTACTGATATCCCAGTTGCATTAAACACACTGACTTACTCCCTACATAAATTACATTCATTCTAAAAGAATGAATAAATGAATGTGCTAACTACCCTTCCAATAAATATTCTGTCTGCACACACCGGCTAAGATTGGGGGCCTATTTCTTTAATGCTTGTGGCACACTTTAGATACATGCTTAGTCATTTAATTTGAATTAGGTACATACTGAAGAAAGAAAAATGTCAAGTTTACTCTTATTTAGTGGACAGCCTGTTAGAGGGAGAAGCCAAGTGGTGACTGTGGACATCTGGGGTCACATAACTAAAGAAGTTTCCAGGCCTTCGTTACTAACTTCCATCGATCTTCCACAATATACAATCTCACAGACAACTGTAGAAGTTGAAAAATGTGTGTACTTTGCTTTTGAAAGAGTTCTTCCTTATCTTGTTTCTTAATGAATAAATACCAGCAATGAGAACGTCAATTAATTTAAACTATTGCTTTTATTATAATTACACGGGAGCACAAATAAATAAGCACAAAAGTATCGTAAAATATTGTCAATGCACTAAAGGAAACAGTTTATTTTCAAACAACATCTGGTTACTTCAGTAGTATCAAAGTACATTTATAATTACATGTTACCTAAAAAAATCAAGTACAAAAATTAAGAGAAATTAAAACATCAGTGTTTAAATATTATGTATATAGAAATGGCTAACAACACATGAGTAGAGAAATCTGTTATCTAATGCTTATTTGCACAATTTTTCAGGCACATACCTGACATTTTTGATGAGTTATGAAAAATGCAATACGACATTCTGATTTTTAGATACGGTAAACATGTTATATTGGAATGGATGTTAAACGGTTTCTTTTAAAAGCCCTGTCTTTTAAAAATGTAGTGCCATTTTCCACTAAAAAACATATTATTTTATATCATTTTTCTCAATAACTATTTGTTTCAGTTTCTCAAAAAGAGCAAGAAAGTAAACATACAATTGATAAATACGTAAACACATTTTTAGTGCAAGATAACAAGACCTGTGACTTTACTGTGCTTTGTTTTTTATTATCACAGTGCACTTTCCACAAATTGCTACACTATCAATGTTAACCTAAGGAATTCCAAACAAAAGAAGTGCATACTAAACATTTTCATATATATTATATACAGTATGTATACTGTATGTGGGCATACACATGTGTGAATGTAGATGATTTTAGGGTGGGCAAACCCAGTCATATTTGGGAACAATTAAACATTCAAAAAGATTTTCATGTATGTTTGGTTGAGATAAATCCAACAATATTTCTGGAAAGGTGTTTTCCCTAAGATTTGAGACTTTATTATATTTAAAGGGAAATGTAAACAGACTTTTTTTTTCCAGATTACACACTTTTTGCTATGATGTAATTGACCCAAATATCAAAGGATTTTTAATTAATCCAAACACCAAGTCACAATGCTTAAGTCCAACATGGTAAAACGTGTTATCTTGTACTGATTTACATAGACGGCAGTACATAGCCTATGTGTACATATATAGAGGCTTACACATAAACACATTTTATACTTAGATGTTAACTTTAACATGTTTAATATTTTACTTTGTACAGTTAATCTGAAAAAAGGAGAGAATATCATGAACACATACAAGATGTCAAACATGATAATTTTATATCTTCTTAAAAACAATTGGCTTTGTTTTTAAATATTAATGATTACATAATTAAGCTCCTTGATGGCAGGAGCCACATCTCATTGACGGTTTAATTTCAAGTGTTTCAGAAATTTTTTTTAATAACCAATAGACAAATTTCTCAGCAATGAACTGTTAATAATGGATTAATAAATTGTCCCCATTCTATATTTAGCTATTTATTTTCCCATGTAGGGGTTAATAATGAAAAGTAATATTACTGATACCATTTTTCTTCCCTTCTATTTATGTCTGGGACACAATGAATTGTGAATGTCTATTCTGTTCTACTTCTATTCCTTTGCAACAGTGAATTCTCTCACCTCAGATTACTTATTACTTAAATCGTAGGAATTTTTTTTTGCTTTCATAGGTAGCCATAATTAGTGTACAAGCTCTTCTCTATTTTAGGGAAGTGATTCACTTTAACCTAAAAGTTATATTCCAACTTCACTGTTTATGTACATTGTTTTGAAGTCTTAATTAGCTAAAACAATAAGCCAACATGGTGGTTTTATTTCATTAACTTAATAAATAACTTGCTCAAAAGAGTCAAACCAGATTGTGTGTGAGGACAAATCCTAAGCCAAAATGTAGTAAGAAAAATGTCTCTAGATTCTCCAGAAGCACTCAAAGAAAACTACTTGGGTCTTCAGTCTCTCTGGAGTCTCAGCATCACTATTTTGAAAAATGAAGTTGTGTCTAGTTGTACCCAGACAACTGTCATGTATCTGTGTAAATTCTTTAAAACTACACATTTTCATTTAGTAATGTTTTGTTTTGTTTCACTTTTCCAACGATTTTATACAGGCGGACATTAGCCTTCTTTTATACAAATCAATCACTTTGACATCAAACTTGATTCAACAGCATAAACATGGAAGAAAGGGTAGCAGTGTGTATTTAAAGACCTACTGTTGTATCTCAGAAGATGCTGGCTTCTGGCATTGGACAGAAAAGCAGGATTTGATTTCTCCTTTCCATCAACTCTAACAAAATTTGTCTCTTCTCTTGCTGACAGTCAATAAAATTCTGTTTCTATAAAATTTGCCATGAAAAGACCATTTTTCATAGGCATGAACACTTTCAACCTGATAACCATACCATGATATGATTTGTTCTTTTGGCACTGCTGAAAATATGAGCTTTATCATTCCATAGTGTTCTGGCTGTAGAGAGATTGTTTTATCATTTGACCAAATTCATAGATTGAAGTGCCCTGATTGATTGCCATCAGAGAGTAAACTTATTTTTCTTTCTATCCTAGTGGCCTCTTTTTCTCCACATACAGAAACACTACACAAAGAGGAAATTAATTATAGAATGGCTACACCACAATGGGCAGTTATATAGGCACAGAAATAACAGTTCTTGAATCAAATATCAGTGAAGCCACTTTTCTAGAGCTTCCAATTACTTCCCCCTGAAGGCAAGATTTGGGAAAATTAAATGGAATTGGTTGCCTAAGGTCAGATTTTCAAAGAAGCTACCTTCCCAGAAGACAACTTGCTTAAATAGGGAACCTGTGAAACCTGGTAACAGTATAAATTTGGCAGAACAGATGGGGATGTCTGAATTCAACACAAATCACTTTAGTACCTGTTTCCTTCTTGAGAAGTGGCCAACATGAAAAAATACCTTCTAATTCAGAGAGATATGGGAAAGATAGCCATCTGAAAAATACACTTGCATGTTACTAACTGTAAGTGTCAAGGGGATTATCCAGTCATTACCATACTGAGCCTGAATATATATATACACACACCAAGATCATCATAAAGATGCTGAGAATTGATATCTTAGGTTTGATTGATTGGCTTAACTATATATGGTCATTATGACTTAAATCACAATAACAATTCGGGCCATAAACACATTTTATTTCAATTCTGATTTTATCTGAACTCATTCCATCCATCACTCTTTAATTTGGACTCCATTGACTGTTGGATTTGAAACGTATCTATAACTGGTGAAACATGGCAGCAGAATTTATTTAAGCTACTTAGGATTGCTGCATGATTTTCTGGACTTTTGATTCTGTTTTTTTTTTTTTAACCACCTTAGTAATTCAAGCAAAACCTGAAACTTCAGTAAGCATCTCATGTGTACAGTTCTCAGCACTGAGTTTTCATTCACGCATACGTGCACACACACAAAGGTACACGCTCCCAGTTACCTTTTTTCCTTATTCTTTCAGAATTCTAATTGGACATCAAAATATACATTAATTATAAAATATTAAAAAATTATTTTATACCATTTCGAAGTATTGAAAGGAACTATTACTGATAAAGCGTTACTAGATTTTTAGCAATATAGATTACAAAAATTCCCTACCTTCTATTTATATTTGGTTTTATTGAGCAGCATTGTACTATTGCTGTCAAAACCCTTATAAGGAAAGCCACTATGACAATAACTTCAAACACATACCTTTTCTCTCAGAAATATAATACTAACTTGATTGTTAAAGAAGAATCACATACTGTCAATTTTAGGAAGCATAAATAGTAATTTGAATATACAAAATATATGTGATAGTTTCCTTTTTTATTCATCCATGGAAATATTTATATTCAACTAACAAGTTGCTGTTAAAAGATATATACGATTTGCTTAACTTAAATTTCACCACGACATAAAACTGAATCCCCCCATCCCCCACCCCCTGCATTTCCTGTTTCTTGCTTGAAGCAAAATATAATAAGTGGTCATAATTCTTTGGTCACGGTGTCATAATCAGTAAAAGTGGGTGTGATGATCATGTGCAGAAGATTACGACCCAAAAGTGTGGTGATACTTTGAAAAAAATGAATGAGAGATACTAATTCATTAATTGACCTTAATTTTGAGAAAGATTGGCATTTCATGTACTAAAATATGTGAACTCATCTGATTGAATGTTTATTTCTCATTTTCTAGGGTAAACAAACAAATACATTAAAAGTTACTTAAAAATAGTGACTGAAGCGGCTATAATGCCACTGGTCCCACTTTCTTGAAAGCAGTCTTGATGTTTAGCTTTTGATTCCTGTTGCTTCCATTGTCACAGTGAACCCTGGTCTCCTCCAATCAGGTCAATGATGCCAGGACACATACATGTCCCTAAAGTCATTTCTGAAGGAAATGTTTGCTGCTAGGATGTCCCAATATGTCCTAGTAACTTTCTTTATAGTTTGACTAACCATTGTTTAGTAATAAACGAGATTATATTGAAGAGAAATTTTTATAAAGCCAATGTAGCAAAAATATTGGTGTTGATGTAACATGGATGTCCAAATTAAGCATCATATTTGCACCTATTTCCCATCAACCCTTACAAATGTACAAAGCAACAGGCATTCTTAACGAATGATATCTGACTTCTACATTACTAGCACCAGATCATATATTATGTGGTTGAACATGATTTATAGCTGTGAGCTCTTGTAGAGAAGCTAAATGTGGGTGGACAAAAATAACATTTTAAATGCAAAAAATTAATAATAAAAGGCATCAAGGGATTACATATAAAAGAGATAACAAACCAGTTAATACCGAAATTATATCATATATTAAAACTCTTGATATTTCTGTAGTTTATATACGTATAATGTGTATTATTTCAGTTGTCACCCATAAACTAGTAAAATATGTACATCTTAATATCTTCTGGATTCAAAATAATCCAGGATAAATAAGTGTGCCTTAATTGCAAGGAAATATACATTTTATCTGGAATTTGCCATGAATAGGCACAGCTTCCCATGGATTTTCCAAGGGAAGTGCTGGCATTCCTTTCCAAACAGAGAAGATACATAACAGTTACTTATCACATGACCAAGTTGACTTCCTTCTTCATGTTTAGTCACGTGGAGCTCATGCCATCCTGTAAAGTCATATGGCAGTATCCCAGAATACCGTTTGCTGTTTAGAATAGGGTGGAGGACTGTACTTCTTTGCACCTGCATTCTTCTTCCAGCTGGGTAAGATAGGCATGCTATCCTGTTTGCAAAGGCCCTTTTCCGTTTTCTGTCTAGCCTTTATTTCTTTGCACAAGCAACGCTTTTTCTCAATCATCTCAAGCATTGTATGGTCTCCATGAAACCACTGCATGCATGCCACCTAGCAAAAAAGAAAGAGTGAATACAGAAGAAAAAACTGGCATGAAAGCAATTTTTTTTGCACTGTGCTAGCAGTTGATTTGAAAATGTCAGCCTTTCTATATCTTTGTAATTCTTACAGAGCAAAATTGAAGTACAGAAACTATAAATCAATTTTGTACTTAAATCAGTCAAATTATTATTAAACAATAATTTGGGTGAAAATATTTTTCTGATATGTTCTAAAAGTCCACAATAGAGAAACAAACCTTTCTTTAAATCACTTTAAGCAATTTGCCAAATATTTACCTATTACTTTCATGTTGATCCCATTCTCTCATAGGTCCCAATATGTCAGTATAATTGAATATGAATGCGATACGTTTTGGAGATTTTAGTGAACATTTTTACTCTTGAAACAAAATTTGGGTTTGTTTATAAGTAACACAGAATTAAGATTTTTTAATAATTTTTCTACCAAAATGATTTTCAGTGTGCATCTAATGCTTGGAATTTAAATGTTTAAATAATTATTTTACCAAAGAAGTTCAGCTACATTTTTGATGCTTCAGCAAATGTCTAATTTAGAATAACTGGCCTCTGCAATCATACTGACATGACCCCCAAAGAGTTCCAGCACTTTAGGGGAACAGATTGATTCATCAGGTCAATTGTCTATCAGAAGAAGATTCAGTACTAACTTGATATGGATTTACATACATACATTTCTGGACAGATAAATACTGTCTCCCTGTATACGTGACCATGTCCACCAATACTGTTCTTTAGAAGAGAGTCAGTGGGTTGAGTCTGTCCAGGATAGCACACAAGATAGCAATGTGATCATGTCATGAACCAAGGATGGGGAGGCCTCCACTTAACTGTTCAAGCAAATTCACTCTATGACTTGAAGGGTTAAAGTAGTTCACTTGGAGTCACTGAATTTGACGTTTCAATCTTAGAATAGTAACCACAGTATGCTTTCTCTATACCAGATTCCATTTTAAGTCATTGGAACAGTTTAATTCATTTATTCCTCACAATGATGATGCTCTGAAATATGTATTATTTATTAACCCATAATGATGAGTAAAAGGAGACAGAATTGGCTACTTATTTAAGATTACAGAGCCAGTAAGTGGCAGAGTAAGGATTTGTAACGATTGCCTCTCCAACACTGTGCCTTTAACAACTATGCTACACTGATTCTCAAAGTATATGCAAACCTGGAAAGGACTGGGAAGATAAATTAGTAGAACACCACACCATCAAAGTACAGATGAGGAAGCTAAGACTTTAAGAAATCATAAATCTTTCCCAGATCCAGGAAAGTAGGCTTTTGTGTGAACAAGGCAAAATCAGATTCTCATGATTCCCAGTCCTTTATGAAGAGGGCAGGACCCACAGCTAGAAGACAAAGCTTCCATGCCTGGATGTGCCAAATTTCCCCGAGTAGCTCTACTTCTTGGTTGGTTTCTTCATCTAAATAATAAAATTGATCATATTTCAATCTCAGAAGCTGGTGTATGGCTTATATTGGATAATGAAGGTAGTCATTTTTAAAAATATTAAACCATTGTCCAAGTATTATTATTCTAATACCGACAAATATCTAGCTGTTTTCCATACCCGCTCTCTGCCAAGCATGCACAAAGGGCTTACTAAGTCCTCCCATCCTCCCTGAAAGTTAAGATTGGTCTGCACACTATAAGTAAGAATGCTGAGCCTCAGGAAGTTTAAGGAACTACATCAAGGTCGCAGCTTATTACCTGTGATACAGACCTTTTTCAAACTCACACTCCAAAGTGAATATTCTTTCTACCAAAGCATGTCCCATTTCCTAAATATTATCTAAAAATCATAATAGTAGTTATTGTTTTATGTAATACCACTTCCAGATGCTACTCAAAAATATATTTTATGGCTTAATAATTTTTAAAAAACTGCATATCAAATAAATCAAAGTCAATGACTTGAGTTGGGAGTCCAGAAGATGATACCCTCAGGTAAGTGTCCTGTATGTGCCTAATTGATATAAAATTGCTCAAAAGGATAGGCTGTGCTTTATGCCTTTTACTGTCCTCTAGTCCCTAGCCCAGGATGTTAGCCATAGATGTTCACTTTTTAAAGGAAAATATTCTAGATGTTTGTTGAAGTAACCTAACCAACAGGATTTTGTCCCAATAGGATATTGCCAAAGTGGTTTGGAAGTTTTTCAAAAGGGTTATCATATTTTATAACAATGATCTATGCAATAAAAATACAGTAACTCTATTTTGGTATAAATACAAGCAAAATTTATTGAGTGACTATAAACTGTTATAAATAGCATTTATAACACAGAATTCCCAGACAGGAGGCCCCAAATCTCATCCATCTCAGCAGCCCCAACATGCAGAACAGAGTCATTAAGCTCTCGGTAAGTTCTATGAGTAAAAAGAAAGCCACCATCACCATCATCAGTTTATGTTGCCTCTCAGAAAACTCTCCAGATAATTTTCTAGTCAAATCTCACTGGATTTTACACATTCCAATGAAACTGCAAAACCTCCAACCTTCTTTAAGGTAAGATATTCACAGCATCACTTCAATATTTGCATTGTACTTAGTTGTCCATAAAAACAGTAAGTCATCTATTACTTAACTTCCTTTAATATTTTAAGGGTGTGAATTAGTACTTGTGACTGAAAAATAATATTCCTGGATCACTCTGACAACATTGTCACCAATATATTTTGTAGGGGACACTATATTTCATACACATATAATTGCATTACATTATCTATAGTAGAAGTGTGTGTTTTCTGTCAATTATGCTATTCATTTATTAAGGATAATCAATTTCTCCAAAATATCTAAATAATAGAAGTTTAAGAATAAAGTTATAAAGTATAGTTTTCATATACTTTACATTTTTATTTTAAAATAATTATATGTCCACTTGACTTATATAATGGTTTAAACATTAATAGAAGAAAATAAACTCCCCTTTTTTTTTCAGACTAACTCTATAATATTGACCTGTCTTCCCTTGGTGGCCAGATGTATTGTCAATACAAATTTCATGAGAATATATTGCCCAATACATGAATGAGGGCTAGATATTCTAAGAGAATTCAATTATAGGTTGTTAGAAAATCGCCAATTCAAAATTTTTAATTACTATTTTAACAAATCTGCTGTGTCTTGTATAGAATCTTCTTATGTTAAATCTGCTCTCAAACATTTTTCTCACTTAAAATACCCAAGAAAATTATTACTATATTCAGATGAAATGAATGAATGTAGAATGTGATTCATTTAGGAGAAGACAAATCTGCTTGTGGTATTTACTTTTAAATGGTATGTGTTTGTAAATATTTCTTTCTGGAGGGTCTATATTCTTTTTAATTCCTGGAATTGAACTCCAATATTATTACTATGGTCATTTTCATGGTAGAATCCCTATGCTTAAAATCTGTCTAAAACCCACATTTCAGTCTGATAGTAAGATTCTGCGCTTCAATTCAGTACTTTGTACATAACAAATAATATGTTTAGCAATTATATGAAGTGTGTTAGCAATTTTTGGGTGGTCCCACAAAATATTTCATGGCTTTCCTATTTTTTGTTTCATCACCTAATTCTTCAAATCTGGTTATATTTAGCTGTAAAGTCCTATTCTACTTCACCCTGAAGTTGAAAGAACTCTGAGATATGACTTATGATACTAAGTATACATTGGGAGACAAGTATAAGACAATTATTTAATTCATATGAGCACACATCTCTTGGGCAATATTTTCATATTAACACAATTCAGCACAGGCAATATTCTTGGCTAATAAGTTAATGGAGATAAAATCAAGTGAAGCTCCTACTCAAAGAGGTGAAATATAAATCTCCATCCCTTAATTGTATGTGATACACAGTGACTTCTTTCCAAAGAATTCAGGATGAAAAAGAGAGAGTAAGTTAACAGAGAAACCTGTCAAACACTACCTACAGCAGACCAGGCGATCAACAGTTGTGATAGTGACAGTATGTAGGTAACCTTGACGTCAGGTGAGGAGAAAGGCACACTACGCCTGTGGTCTTCCTCCCAAAACTCTTTAACCCAGTGTAACCATGAGAAAAATATCAGACAATCCCAAACGGAGAGACCTTCTACAAAATACCAGTCCAGCAATCCTCAAAATGGTCCAGGTCATTCAAAATAAGGAAAATCTGAGAAACTGTCAAAGTCTACAGAAGGCAAAGCAGGCAGAATGACTAAAATTAATTTCTATGATATCCTGGAGGGGATCCTGAAAGAAAGAAATAAGAACTAAGGAAGTCAAATGAATTTATAGGCATTAATAATAATGTATCAGTATTGATTCACTAGTTCTGACAAATATATACGCAGTAATGTAAAGTATTAACGAAAGGGGAAACTGTGGGGAGGTATACAAGAACCCTTTGTGCACTCTCTGTAGCCTTTCTGTAAACTTAGAAACTATTCTAAAATTCAAATAAAGAGTATATCTATATATAGATAGGTATCTATATATAGATATATATGTCAATCATATGAAAAGACCATATTCTTTCCAGATGCCAATTTTAACTGTATTTTTCATTCTTCAGATGGAAGCCACATGGCATAATGGACAGAGTTAAATGAATTCTTTGCAGTCCTGATTGTTGTGGGACATTGAAGTCGTGTATTTCTCTGAACTTGTTTGTATTTCCTACAAAAATTGTATATGTATAGGTACATAATTATATACATAGTATATATATTTGCATGTACTTCATATGCTCATTTCATGTATATTGTACATACTTCATGTATTTATGTATATGAGTAGATACTTCATACTTCACATGGTTGTAAGAGACAGTGAACTAAGTAAAGCATGCAAAAAAGATGGGGAAAGTGTAAAGCCTCAGACATTGTTAATGTCTTACCTACTGATCCTTTAGGGCATCAAGAACAACATAAATGAGGAGTCTTTAATTCACTTCAATCATTACTTTCTCTAAGAAACAAAGTAAGTA